ATATTCAATAATAATTTTCTACTTCTGGATCATGTAACACCAGTTTATATGTTTTATGGCAATGTGACAATAGGACCTGTCATCCTGTATCTACTGTACAGCAGTATCGTGTCCTCAGCTTACTGCATTTCAGCAAGGTGATGGGGTGGCTCAATGATCTGATTTAAAAGACTTTTCTTTGGTGACAGAATTCTAGTTGTGACTCAAATAACCAGTCAGCCCCCAGATTTATTTACCAAAATTTTGTGTTGACTTTTACATATCTAAAACATTGTATGTGAGACATATCAGTGGGCTGCGCTGCTAAATTTTTGAATAAGGAAGGAAGAAAAGAGCAGGTGAGAAAAAAAAAACAAGTTTACAGTTGTGATAAGGAAAAAAAATGTGTAATCCCCAGCTCTCAAATGTGGACCAAATGTACTGGGAAACACCAAACTCGTTTTCATCACCCCCTCCTGCTGGGAAAAGGAGATGGTGGCTGACATTCTCTGCATCCTCTGAAAGGCATTGAGATCCTTACTCTTGTGAGTCTGAAGAAGATGAGGCCTCAAGTGAACTGTGTGTGCTGTGTCAGACAGCTCAGTTAGCTCCACGTACAGCTGCTGGAAAATCCTTCCTCTATCCTGACTTAAATATGACTCCTTGGATGAGCCTGAACACTTGACACGGGCTCAAAGGACTTTGTGTGGGAAGACAAAATCCCCTGCCTGGGTACTACTAGGCTAGGGACTTGCCCAGGATTTCCTGCCTTCATTTTCCATGAGTGCATGACCTAATAAATACATTGCACATGTGTATATCCTGATCTCTTCCCTCAATCCCTGCCCCAGGTCAATTTCAACACTTTCTGAAAGGAAATATTGACAATGTCTTGGTAAGCATGAAAAATTGTTTTCTTTCTGAAATTTTGCTCTTGTCTTTCCAGAATCCAGAATCAGGGTTAAAAAAAAAAAAAAGTACAGCATTCTCTCAACTTATGCAATGCTTGGAATAAAATTTCTCTCCTCTGGTTTTGTCAGAAGAAAAAACTTTTGTGTCCATTGTCCCAAACCTGCTGCAATGTTTTGTTTTTTTCTCTGCAGAAGCTTAAGCACAGGTGTGAGAAACTGTTCATTACTGAATGAACTGTGGCTTAAGTGAAGAAGAGGAAAAGCAAAGATGAGGAATGTGCAGAAGAAAAGGCACAAACTCTGTCTTGGATAATTTGAACTTGCCCTGGTCATCCTGCTGTTTGCAGCAGGCCTGGTGACCAAGTGTGTTGGCTGCATTTCAGTTTGTGGGCCAGCAGCAGTTTTGTCCCTTCCCTCTTCTCATGTGTGGCCCTGGTGCAGTGTGACAGTGTGACTATCCATGCTAGCTTTTGTGTTCCCAGTGTGTGTGTGTGTGCGTGTGCAGGTGGAGTGTGTGTGCATGTAGTGAGGTGGTGCCTGCAACTGAGCAGAGGAAAGACAGATGAAAGTGGTTATGGGCACTCCTCTGACCCTCCAGAACCCTGCTGTGCTGCTGCACTGCCTCCGTGGCTGGGATCCAGCAGAGCTGTCCTGAATGCCCTTTGCCTCCAGTGTGTGGTGGCTTGCATCTCTGCTCTGCAGGAATGCTTCAGCCTGCAGCCCTGGGGCTCTGCTGGCAGGCAAAGCTGGAGCACAGGAGGAAGGAAGGCTAGCACAAGCTGTTGGGAGGAGAGGGGAAAGCATACTCTGAGGTGCTGTCATGATGGCTGTGTACACCCTGGAAAAGTGGGAGAAAAAAAAAGTGGAAAAACTGGTGACGGGGAAGGGAGCTTGCACACTCCCATATGCAAACGTATGTTTGGTAAAGCTCAGGGAATGTCAAGTTCAGAGATTGCAACATTATCCGAATACAGCCACATACACATAGTAGTATGCCCTAAAACAACATGAGAAATGACTTATCATTAATTACCATTACAGACCAGGAATGAATGACTCTACATATCTGGGAATTCCCTTTTTTCTCCAGAGTCGTCCCTACATTTCCTTCAGCAGCTCAGCGTGTCCTTCCTTCACTTGCCCCAAGTACTTTTCCATGAACTTGAAAGTCCTGCTCAGTAATTGCTCTGTCTGGTTGGGCAAGGCAGCTCTGCAGAGCCCCAGGCCTGTGAGTGGTGGAGGTTTGTGGGGTGGTGCTCTGCAGCAGGGGTTGCATTAGCTGTGTTTGTAGCACGCCACACCCTGTCTAATCCAGCGGGGACAAGCAAAGCTTGGGGCCCCTGGACAGCAGCCTCTGACCCTGCAGCACTTTCTGTGTTACTGGGGTAGTAAACAAAGTCACACTAACATCAATTTCTGCACATCAGAAGTTGATGTCTCTGCTCCCGCTAAGCTGTGGGTTCAAGCCTGTTCATTGCTGGCAGTCAGCAAACTGATGTTTTTCTTCCCACTTTTTTTACACACCTGAAAGATCTGCTACTTTTTAGCTGAGGTGTAGCCCTCTTTCAATGTGAGCGACACAAATCCTCACCAGGCCATGACACAAATCCTCGCCAGGCCGCGCTGAGGTTTCCAGATTAGTGTTAATGCTTTCCATAGGAGTGCCGTGTTCCGGGGTGGGTAGGGGAAGACCTGTTAGTGCACTGTTTTTCTTAGTCACTTTCAGAAGACAGGGCTGAAACTAGGTAAAGGTTCACGCTTGGACCAACCCTTGAGGCTGGAGCTCCTCTCTGACTGTGTCAATGCCCGTGAGTCACCCTTGAAGCGGTGCAATCCTTGTTCTCAGGGTGTCACAGGATCTTGCCTGCACTTAGATTTACTGACAAATGGACCTGAATCCTGCCCCAGGTAGGGAAAACAATTTTTAGCCACACTTCTGGTTCACTGAAGGGAAGGACTGATTGCAGTGAAACTGGGATGCCATCAATTTTTTTCTGGCCAAAGGCTGAGCTCTGACATGAGTGAATATCCGCCCCAGGTGGAGGGCATGGCAGCCTGAGCCTCCTTTGTTGCAAGTGCTGTGAGTGAGGGCAGCAAGACCTAAAAGGAAATGGTCTGATCTGGCTTTGCATTTGTTTCTGCCCAGAGCTGTGAGTCAGAAACTAAAAGCTTGGTCTGGTTGTAAAACAGAATGTGTTCTGTGTAAAGATACAGCTCCCAAACACTTTGTGTTTAGCCATAGAGAACTGCCTGACTAGAAAACTGAAGACAGGTTTGGGAATAGGAGCTACAAGAGGAAGTATTAGTGAGACATTGTGGGTTTACACATGTCAGGACAGTGGCAAAGGCAGGGATATTGGCTGAAAAGCAAATGCATGCAGTACTAGTGGAGCAACAGTGGACATACACAAACAAGGAGTCCTTTCCATGTATGATTCAAGCAATGTAGATGATGCCTTTTCCCTGGTCTTAAAAAACTGAGAGCCAGCCGTGGTTAGGGGATAAGGATTTTTACCTCAGTATTTAATAAGGATCCTTATTGGTGCACCATGTCACCAAGGTGGGATGCACTGCAATGCACACACACAATATATCATGTACACAATTTATAGACTCACAAATTAGCATATCTAACAGAGATGCCTGCCTGGATGAATGGTGTGATATTCCACTATCCATGGAATTCCCCACTGGATGCACCAAATCTCTGGTTTGCAGGTTGTGTTCTAGAGAGGACCTTGGTTTCCCAAGAGTCCTCAAGTAGTGTAGGGGTTTCCAGCCTCCTACTACGAGGCCTCTAGGATGTTTGGTCTCCTGGCCTAACAAAATACTAGGGATATGCTAAGTTATCAGACTTAAGGAGTTGCAAAAGTATGCATGCTAAGAATACTAAGGATACATGAAAGTTATATAAAAGGTATATAATAGAAATGGCAAAAAACTAACCTTGGCATCATAGAGATCTCCCTTCTTTTGCTGACCTGTTTAATACTCCTGAGCCTTCCCTCTTTGCAGTGAACTCAAAACCAGTGTGTGGGTGATGACCAGTACTGTCCCCACGAGAGGGTTCACAGAAGAGATGGAGAAGGGGCAGAGATATCCTCAGCATCCAGGAAAAAAAATTTGAGCTTTCTTAGTAGAAAAGTGGAGGTCATGGAAGAATAAAAGGAGCTGCATATAATAGAAGAGTGCCATGATGTTATGTGGTAGTTAAGAAAAATGATCACAGCATCTGTCTTCTTCGATAGAGTGGAGCATAGGAGATATGGAAATCAAGAGTAGCTAGAGAGGCCTATGATGTAGACAGAAAGAAAAGGGGTCTGAGTGACAGGCTTAGCAGCAGAGCATTGGAGAGGTCCTTGCATTTACCTCTTAATGTTACAGCAATGGCCAGACCCCTCAGGGAAGGCATTTGGACAGGAGAGGTGAGGCAGGTCAGTGAAACATCACTGCAGCATGGTAGATGACAGCAGAACTTTCCTAGTCCCACACAGGCAGCATTTGACATTAATGTGGCATTTCCCCTCCTGGATGGGGCTACCACACTGCCTGGGGAGTGAGGACCAAGAGGTCTTTTGACTTTCTCTCCTGATGATCTGTCTGCCCCCACAGCACCCCATGCTTACTTTCAGAGTGTGAAGAGATTGAATATGCAGTGTAGGTGCAAGGTACTGGAGAGAGAAGGGCTGGGAGTGGGGCCCAGAAAGAAAGTTCCATGCCCTCCCAACCTCTGCCCTGTACTCTGTGTATCAGAATACAGGTGTCTTTTCTTTTCTTTTTCTTTTCTTTTCTTTTCTTTTCTTTTCTTTTCTTTTCTTTTCTTTTCTTTTCTTTTCTTTTCTTTTCTTTTCTTTTCTTTTCTTTTCTTTTCTTTTCTTTTCTTTTCTTTTCTTTTCTTTTCTTTTCTTTTCTTTTCTTTTCTTTTCTTTTCTTTTCTTCTTTTTTCTTTTCTTTTTTTTCTCTTCTCTTCTCTTCTCTTCTCTTCTCTTCTCTTCTCTTCTCTTCTCTTCTCTCTCTTTCTTTCTTTGATTGTTATTTTTTTGTTTTGGTTTTGGTTTTAGTTTTTGGTCTTTGGTTTGTTTTTGGTTTTAGTGGGATGTGGGGGTTTTTGTGTGTTTTTGTTGTTGTTGTTGTTATAATTCTACCAGGCAACTCATTGTCATGTGTTGTAGTTTCCAGTTCATCCTTTGGAGAGAGAACTGCTTTACACCAGTGAGGCAGTTTGATAACCTTGAGGTGTTCTCCGTGTCAGCCTCCAGCTCTTCAAATCCCTGTGAAAATAAAACAGTGAGAGGAAGGTTGTGCGTGGGATAAGGTAATAGAATATTTTCAGAGTTGCTGAAACCAGCTTCCCTAGCAGCAGAAACTTTGTGGAGTTTTCTGTAGTTGATGGTTGTTCATGAGGTCATGCAATGGTATATTTATTTGTAAAAGCAGATAAGGACAAACATTTTAAATCTCTTGTATATTAATTGTTTTGCCAAATGTAATGTGCTTCAAAGCAGAAGAGTGACTAAAGTGTCAGGTGCAGCCCTTATTAGTTGGCATATTAATTATAAATTATCCTCGAGAAGGAGAGTGTGTTTGGCAAGGAGTGGCCTCAGTTTGGTCACATCCTCATCTTATGAATTCACCAGCACTGCTATGAGCTGAGGAGAACATTAATAAAGCAGGAAGCCTCCTCTGCTTTGAGATCCAGAATGTACTTCAAGGACATTTTTAAATCAAAATGCCAGTATGAGTCATATTTTCATCAGCCAGGCATTCATCACCAGGGTTTACCCTGAAGTACTATTAGTTATAGTTGGAAACACTACCAATTTAATAATAAATTACATTCCTTATGATGAAATTCTAAAGAGCACAGTAATTTTCTTCAGAATACTTGGATGAAATATTATTTTCCATCAATAGGTTCCTACCTTTTTCAGAGTTAGTATGTCTTCATCCTCCTTGTTTCCATATAATAGAGCTGTAAAAATAGACAAATGCTGCTTGGTACGCCCGACTGCAGCCAATGTTTTACAAAATCACTACAGACTTAGAATGACACATAAACTTCTACTGTTATGCAAGAGATGTTTTGATGAAACATTTAAGAGTGAACTGAATGTTCAGGGCTAAGAAATGTCCACCAAAGGACCGACTTTAGAACACAGTTTCTTATATAATTACTTTAATAAGAGGGAACTATGGGTTCCAGCTGAGGACTAAGCTTTTAGCCACACTAGATAACACTGGGGTATTGTCCTCAGTAGTAAAGGGTGCTTGGTTCAGTGATACAAAATATTGCAGATTGCTAAACATCATTTTGGGCTGCTTTGTTCAAGATTCAGACTCACCTTAAAATATACCCTAATAACTTAAGGGGCTTAACAAAAACTCAGAGCAAAGCCAATAAAAATTCCTAGGATGCCAGCTGAGTAAGAATTTGAAGTTGATTAATATTTCTTTAGAAGGACACATTTTTTCCCACACAGTGGTAGAGCAGCAGCCTATCAATGTAAAATCATGAATGCCATTATCCTTTGGAAACTACAGTTATCACCCACTAAAAAAAGAGAAAGATTCTATGTGGTAGTACTGAGATTGAATTTGTAATAAATGATAAACATATTTGTTTGAAGTGATCTCAGAAACTACCAAGCATATCCTGGCATGATGTATTAAATTCTGCATTTCAGAGAAAGTTGAAACATACCAGTAAGAGGTTCTCCATTTCCTTTCTTTTATCACCTGCTAATGGTTTGAGGTAAGACCTTATTGAGGTGAATCATAGGAGAACACATCTCTCAAGTTGTTTTTAAGGTTGTTTACAGACCTAGCATTAATTGTGGTATTGATTTGCTCCCTCTTCTTTCCTTAATGCTGTCTATATAGTCTAGAGACTGAAGAAGCAGCTTTATTTAAGTTAAAGCTTAGCTTTTAAGTGGAATATGTTGTTTATCAGAAGATCATCACCATGTTTTTTTCAGTGAATGTGCTTACTGCAGGCCTTAGGAATGTGCAGATACATGGAAGCAAAATCCATGTGTGCCTTTGTTTTGGCCAACAAAGGCATTATCAGCCTCTCTTCTGCAAAAATATTCTGAAATCTGTATCAGAGGAGTAAAAGGCAGAGGTGCTAACCACATTTATTTTGTGGGATTTTTTTGTTTTGTTTTTATGTTTTTGGTTTTGGTTTTGTTTGTTTGTTTGGTTTTGGTTGGTTTTTTAAAATCTCTTGTAATGTATGGATCTTTGTGTAATTATGTTATTATTACTAAAACACTTGCAAAAATTCCTGATCTTGGTCAGGCTAAAAGCAGAGTGGTGCATGAAAGCTTTTTATTCTCTTTTGCACTCACATATTTCTCCATGCAACTCCCCCCCCCCTTTTTTTTTTTATAGCCTTTGTACAATGGTAACTGTGCTGCTTTCCATCTGAGGTGGGCCATGCCATATTTGGCCTTGTTCTACTCTGTTTGAATGCCTCAATAATGTGGTACAAGAATATTGCTAGGAGTTGCCTGGGAAGCAGTTCTGTGACTCTTTTCCCATCTTGTTCACAAATATGTCACAAATACCCCAAAGGATTTCATAATTGTTTTCAAATAGATGCACAATTATGGTTCTAACACAATCATTAGATTACAATAGTTTATTGTCAAGGTGTTAGTTTATAAAGCAAATATACCAGGTTTGTGATTAAACTCCACCTTTGCAGTCAGATCTGGGCTGTAACACTGACAGGTTAAATGCCCAGAGACCTCCTGAAAGGTGATTTGGTACATGGTGATTTGGTACATAATGGTACAAATGAAGACCTACCTAACTTTGCCATCAGGAGTTTAACTGCTGTTATATCAGTAGCAGTGCTCTTAATCTCACATCTAGTTGCAGACAGAGACATAGTTTCTCACCACCCCTGTTGTGGAGTTGTGTCAGAGGCAGTGTATTTTACTGGCAGAACTCCAGGTGAAGTCTGCTGGTTATCAGGATCTGCTTCTGGAGCAGTGCAGTAGCAGTATTCTGATCCCTTTTGTGCTCCTCTCAATGCCCAGTCTAAATCCTCTGTTGTACATAACATGTGATTCTCTCACACATAGTCATATAAATGTTGTTTTTCCAAGCTTGACATTTCACACTGCTGAGGAGAGTCAGGGGGACAAAATATGTTATCCACTCTGCATCCCTATAAAATCTCATTTTAGCTTTGAGGAATTGTCTGCTTTGTCCTGTTGGTTTATCTCTATTGCTCCAGAGTGAGGGTGATCAGCAGAGAGACTGCTGTGTTCCAGCACTGCTCACTCTTTATGGGTTTCCACTTTCTTTGCATTGTTTTTCCCTTGGAGCTTAAAGTGTACAGGTTTTTTTTTTTTTTTTCTTTCTTAGTTACTTGCAGCCTATTTCTACATTGATTTCAAGAAATAGGGAAAAATGCTAAATAATCACCAGAAAGAAAAGTCCTTTGTGATTTTTTTCTTCATGTAATAAAATTTAAATTGCATGCAATATGCTGCTGCATAGCTTAATTTTTCTATGTATTAAGCACAAAATAGATGAGTCATTTTTTTAGGACCCTCAGAATGCCAGAAACATGCTTGTGTCCCTCACACAATCTCCCTGGCTAAGCATAGGAGGTGTTGCAGTGGTGGGGCTCATCATCCTTGGAATGATCAGGTGCTGGGATGCTTTGCTATGACCCTCAGTCTCCTGGGCGGGCAGTGGAGAAGATGATGTGAAAAGCAGCAGTGCACTGCTGGCAGCCAGGGTACCTGCAAAAAAGAAGACCTGTGAAAGGAGAATCTTCCCAAGGACTTTTTTATTCCTGCTTGTTGCAAGAGTCCCTGCCTGCTTGGAAAACCAGCTTCTGGTGTACAGGCCTGGAAATGTTTGCCCTGGGATGAGATCTGCAGGGCCTGGAACATAGAACCTTGCATAACACATTAATTTTTTCTTTCATGGCATGAAGAAAAGAAATACCTGTGATTGCTGGTGACTGCTGAGAGTTCCTGTTAATTTCAGTCTACAAGTCATACTATGAGAGAACCTGATGACATCTCCAATTCCTTAAGTATAGTATTATCAAAGGTCAAAAGGATAGCAGTTTTAGCTTGGACTTCACCAAAGGGAAATATTACAAGATCTTATATGAAGAGCAAAGGTTTCCAATCATTAAAGGGAAGAAAGAAGAGAACAATTTTAAAATAGTGTCTACACGGTTGGGGGAGAAAAAGAAAATCAACTCTTTACTTGATGTTCATTAGAAATGATAAGTAACTCTAATGGGAAAATAGGAGGTTCATCATCTAGCTCCATCAAGTAGAGAGTTTGGTCATGCCTATTTCCTCTCCTTGAGTGGTCCATCTGTGAATAGTTTACTTGCTGGTGATTAAACTTAAATAGGAGAAGTGAGTGATCTTGTGGAAGTGAACATGCTCAGCTCCTCCCCTAGGGCATGCTGAATTGTAGTATATTTCATTTTGGTGTAAGAAAGAGAGCCAAAGAAGTAACATCAACAAATCCACACTGTCCCCCACTTCAGCATTAAGACCTGCAGTGGTGGGGACAGATGTTCTTGTCCTTTGCTTTGCTGTTATAAGAAGTTTTAAACGTTAGTCTGGGATGGAGCACTGAGGCATCTAAACTCACTGTGGGCAGAGGCTACAGCAGAGTAGGGCTGCAGATGATAGCCTACTCCTTCCTGGAGGCATTGGAAGGACCAGGACAAGGGTGCCCCTCCTGGACCTGTCCACTGAAAGGGACTTCAGCAGTGATTGCTACAAGCAAGACCTCTTGCAGATTTTGGCAGTCTCTTGCTGTAGGAGGCCTGGGTGAGATTTGTTTCAACAGCTGATGTACATAACCCTTAGCAGAGACACAGGCCCAAGTGACTTCTGTTTCTGTCTTTGCCAAGGTTCCTGCTTGCTTAACACAGCAAGTGACTTTTCCTCCATGCCTTCCTTGATTAGGCTTTACTGCTGAGATATTTTGCCAGCCAACTGCCAAACTTCAACTTCTTTCTCTAATCTTTCAAATTCCTCTGTAATCAGCCTTTGAGATCTGCTCATAAGCAACTTTGGATTTTTTGTAGCACAAAAAGGAGACTCCAACCCTCAACACAATTCCCTTCATTCAGAAAACTTCAGTTGTTTGATGTTAGCTGAAGAGGTTGCTTAGCATTTTCTTCCCAAACAAGTTGCTTTTCTCTCCCTCTCTGCTTATTTTTCATAATAAAAAATGGGCAAGTGTCACTGACAAAAGACTGAGGGTAAAAATAGTGCTGGGACTGAACTGTACAATGAGTGAGTGAGGCATACACTGGTATCTGAAGTTGCAAGTGTCCTTGGGTATCTCTTCCAGGAAAAAAGAATTTAAGTTTCCCCACTTCTGAACTTTGCTCTTATGTAAGCACTGATTTCCCACAAAAAAGGAAATTCATGAAATGAGAAAACCTCAGATGTGACGGCTGTGAAGAGCCGGAAGCACTGTTACTAGAAATCTGATGAGTGATAACAGCACAAGGGTCGAATGCTTGGGGTAGGCGTGCTCAGTGCTATGCTGGTTTTATAATTTCTCTGAGTGGAACTGGGGAATTGATGCTGCTCTCATCTCTGTAGTGTCTGTATGCTTCAATTTGCTCTTTCTGTGGGTGTGGGGGAGCTCCTCTGTGAAGAGGACAGTTGTGCTATGTTTATTAGCATTGCCTGAATGTGAAAGAAGCGTGGGGCTGCTTGCTGGGTCTGGGAGCTGGTGCAAACTCAGTATTGCTACTCCAATGAATCATGCTGTGCACTGGAGCTGTTACCATGCTGGGAATAATTTATACAGATCAGGTAGAAAGTTGTGTTTTGTGTTAGTTACTGACTTGTGAAGTGCATTTGGCCAGGGGATTTTCTTTTTTTTTTTCCCCCAAGCTGAAAATAGTTGCGGTTATATTAGGGCTGTGTAAACTTTCTCAGATTTCTCTGATCCGTAAAAATTAATTCTGTTGGCTTGTGTGTCCACAGCTGTTAGGCAGGCCCTCTTTGGCATGGATTTAGTGGTTTGCTTGAATAAACCAGCAAGGCAGGAAACAGGCATTTGAAGCAGTGGTTTACTGACAGTGAATGCTGTTGAGGGGGAAGAAGAGAGGAGCAAAGATGCAAGCTTTCCAGAAGTGGCTTTCCTGCACAGACTTATCATCCCCTGAGAGCAGGACTGTAGTCTGTAGTTTCAGGCTGACTGTCTTGCAGTATGGGCTTTAACAGGCAGTTTTTAAAACTCTGGCATGGAGCATTGCAGTCTCTGAATACAACTCATTGGGAATAGATTTTATGTTTGTTTGTTAGCTTCTTCTTTCCTTAGTAATCCTGCCATTCGCCCAGACTCGCTCAATAAAAATCAGGGACATGGCACAGTCCCATCCAAAGCAAAAAACTTCAAATATGTTGTTTGGGACTCAGAGACTTAAATCCGAACCAGACGTGATCTTCTATAAAAAATTTCTGCAGATCTTTAATTACTCAGTTTAGATTGATAGTATCTGTTTGTGTCATATGTGAGGTTTAGCTCAACTAAATAGAACAAGCCCAACAATTTTAGACAAACGCAGTGCTAAATGAACATCTTGTCCATTCAATTTTTTTTTCTTTTATTGTTTGTTATTCTAGACACAAGCACTGGAGTGAAGGTTACAAAATCACTCAGGACATGCCAAACAATTATAGTCTAATCATAGTAGAATAGCTGGGCAGTGGTGTTCATCAGTTAAACAAATGAAACAACATTTTCACTTGCACGTTCAAGTAAAAATTTGTTATAGACACTGAGATCTTGTCTAAAGGGCAGAAAAAGCAGGTGTCTTTCTTTTTTTTTTCTTTTGTACAAATGAACAAAACAAGACTAAATTCCTCTGAAAAATTTAAAGATTATAGAAACAAACACAGAAATCATTTTAGTACACTGTGTTCTTTTTTATTTTCTTCATTTCAAACATAGTTATCATGCTTGTCTTTACTCATAACTAATGGGCATCTACATTTGTTTTTCTCAAATAGGTTTCCTTTCAATGTAACCTGCTGCACTGTGTAGATTTTTTTTCCTCAGATTGTCTCCTGCACCTTTTCTAGTTTGAGGCAAAAATTTACATAACTCTTTGATTCTGGAAAGAAGTAGTTTTTGCAAAATTACTAATGATCCCTGATAGAATATTATTCAAGTAATGCTTGGATTGAATCTTCTGCAGGGATGTAGTTGTTACTTTAATGACATCTTCAAAACATAAATGATGTGAGAGCCCTGCCTACTGTGAAGACTGTCTCCTTTCAAGATATACACTGTCTTTGGCATTCATTAATATGCACTTGCACTTGCAGATGAAATGTTTAAATGTTTGATGGTAGTCCTCTGTATATTTGGAGCAGTTTTTGTGGATGCATATTTAGCATGTAACTGAATTGTTGATATTTGCATTTTAAAAGAACGTATTTGGATGGTGCTTTTCTCATCAGTTAAAATATTAACTTTGTATTGGTATGAGAACATTTTCTAGTACCTTCTTTTTGTGCTGTAGCTTAAATCACCTTTTCTCTCCCACATCACAGTGACATTTGATAGACATGACACTGTGGATAGTGTAGAGTACTTGGGGAGAGGTTTTGGGGGACTGCTGAGTTAATAAATGGTCTCCAGGGAGGACACATTCCCCCAGCAGAACATTGTGGAAGAGGCTGTTTTGTGTTCACAGCTCCACAGCCCAGGAATCCAATGGGGATGAAAAGTCCCAGAGATCCCAGAGGAGGAAGGGCTCCAAACCCAGCCCAGGGTGCTCTGAGGAGGAAAGATCCACCCTGTGCTGGGAAGGCAGCTGAAGATTTAGCCAGAGCTTGGACCTGGTGGTCCATGAGCAGCTTCATGATGGGGAGAAGCCCCACAAGTGCTTGGAGTGTGGGAAGAGCTTCAGCCAGAGCAACAACCTGATCTGCCACCATCACATCCACACTGGAGAGAGGCCCTATGAGTGTGGGCAGTGTGTGAAGGGCTGACCTGACTGTCCACCAGATGATCCACACTGGACAGAAGCCCTATGAGTGTCCTGAGAGTGGGAAGAGGTTTCGGAGCAGCCCAAATCTCCTCCTGCAGAAGTGGATTAACACAGAGGAGAGGCCCTTCTGCTGCCCCAGCTGTGGGAAGGTTTTCCAACAAAACTCCAAACTTGTCACCCACCAGCACATCCAAAGCTGAGTGGACCTCCCCCCAGCCCACGGAGTTTCTGACCCTTTGAAACCCATGGGACTGCAGGGCTATGCTGGGCCAAAGGGGGATTTTGGCCCCAGTGGGCTTTTCTGTTGCTGTTGGTGGCTGGAACAAATAAAGGGCTGAAGCTGACCCAAAAGCTGGATGGGGGGCGGGGGGGGGAAGCTGTGCTGGGTTGCGACCCTCCCCGAGGGCACAGCTGGATCTTGGCAGGTTCATTAATGCTGATGAGCAGAGCTGGCGTGGAGGGGGCTGTCCTACTGTTTATTGGCCATGGAGATGGCAAAGGCACTGGGATGGGACACATGGCCCAGCACCACTGGGGTCCCCTGAATGATACTGAGTCCTGTCAGTGAATGGCAGTCCTGTTGGTGACAGGAGGTTTGGTTGGTGACACTGGGTCCCATCAATGACACAAGACA